TCCCCATCCTCACCTCTCTTCAAAAAACAAAAGATGGAAAATACACTACCAACATTTCACTGCCTTTCTGGCAAATCCTATTAGTGTGACAGTCATCTTTCTTTCAGAGTTCTATCAATACAATCCTTTTAGTATGATAAAAAATAGGGCCATGGGGAGTATGCTTTTTCCTTCTTTAAAAACCAGTTTATAATTATAAATACTAGCAAGCTGCTTAGTTCTTGACTTGCTTTTATAAACTTCTAATAAAATACATTAGAAGTAATAGCATGCACGGATGCTTTATTCCTTGCACAAATACCATACCTGATGCTTCAATTGAGCTATTTCTTTCTGACATGAAGTTATTTCACTCTCTGCAAGTTTCCTTAAGTCTTCATTTTCATCTAAGAAAAAAAGGCAGCAGGTTAAGTTTTCCTTAATTAGTATTAAATTGCTAACAGAATTCAAGGTAATAGTTTTATTGTTATTGTAGCTTAAGGGAAAAATAATAATTATCCTGTCCTTTTAATAACTGTTATTAATTTAAAGCATATTATGCATTAGTTTTCAAAAGCATGTAGTTAAAAAAAATTTTTTTAAGTTTTTCCTGATGACAGAAGTATATGTTCAAAATAAAAAGAATCTCTAGAAAAATATAAAGAAGCTACAAAGCTTTGCTATAATTCTGCCTCCCCAAAACATTCATATTAACAAATATGCTTTTAGTTTTCCAACTCAGACTCTACAATAACAAATGAATACACTGAGCTAGTTAGAAAGGCCGGAAGGGGAAGAGAAGGTACCACCAGTTAGACCAAAACTGAGTTAAAAAGTAGGAAGTTATTTGTCTTACTAGTAAATGCTTCATTAATATAAAAGTGTCCACCTAAATAAACATTTAGACCCAGCCTAATACTGACAGAATATTTACATGAAGCAGTCTTCTCTCTCAGGCTTTACCTAATTCTTATTTCATCTTTCAGTTTTCATTTTTACTGTACAAAATATACCTCCTCATTCCTCTATCCTATGGACCACATGCAGCCTATAGAAAGGAGACAGGCGGAAATTTTCTTAGCTATTACAATTTTCTGTTTCTGTTGAAAGAACAAACTCTATCAGCTGGAATGTTTATTCATGTATTAACAGCCAATATGCTGGGAGCTGGGGATAATATGTTAAGACCTGCCCTCAAGGCAGGATTTTAGATCATTTTACTTTCTTTATATTATTCTAGGGGAGAAAAACTCACAAAAAATAACCTAAAACATTAAGTGATTAAATACTAAAATAACAGCATGCCGAAAGATTTTTTGTTTTGGGGATGGGCAGAAAAAGGAAAGAATTAAGGAGAGAGAATGAAAACAGCAAAACTGAGATAGGCGAATATAGGGAGTGTTGGTGGAATGGCAGGGAATTATTTTGGCAAGAATTTGGTGAAATGTAAAATGTGCTTAATTAGAAAAAGGAAAAATGAATTCTAGCCCTAGTTCAACCACCAAGGTTCTCTTAGGGCAACACACCTAACTTCTGAGTCTCAGTAATCTCAAGAATAAAATGAAAGATCTGAGCTGGATGATCTCTAAGGGGCCTTTCAGCTCTGAAATGCGGTGTTCTGGTAAGGCTAAGGAGATTGGAACTAAAGTGTAGAAGTAATCTAATTTAAATACTACATTTTATTTAATGCAGTATACCCAAAACACTACCAATTTCAACATGTAATCAATATAAAAATGTATTTTTTAATATTAAGGCTTTGTGGCTGCTACTTGGACTTTAAGCTTGGCTTAAGGAATGAAACCAATTTAATTTTTTCCCAAAGGATACTATGTCTTAACTATACAATTGCATTAGTCTCCCATTTTCCATGGCATCTTCAGTCCTATTCCAGGCTGCTTCTAAACTGCCATGAATCAAGATTCCTAAGCAAGAAAGCTATTCCTATCATTCACTCCCAATCTGAAAGCTTCTGCTGGCTGGCTTCTGCCAACAGGATGAAATCAAACTTTGTAGGTTAGTACTTGAGCCCCCTTACAAAGTGGTTCCAACCTCCCCTTTCTTGGTTAACACAGAGTTCAGTGATTAAGAGCATGAGATTTGGGGTCAGTCCTATCCAAGCTCCATTCCTTACAAACGGTGTCACCCGAGCTGAGTAATTTTATCTTTATGTCTGAGGTTCCTCTTCTGTTGAATGAGGCTAATAGAACCTACTTCATAATTTATTACGTGAATTGTATGAGTTGTTAGATAAAGGAAGCTAAGCAAAGCCTGGAATATGGCAAAGGATCAATAAAGGTTAAATTATTATTAAATCATCTAAGGGTGGGCCTTTATCCCTGTACAAGTCTTTCCCAACAAGTTCTCCTTGCTCTCCTAGGTCTTTATTGATAAATATTTTTACTTATCATCTGTATTATAATTAACTTTCTTGCCCCCAATAGATTGTGACCCTCTCTAGAGCCTTTCCAAAGTGTGGGCCACAGACCAGCAACTAAGCATCCCCAGAAGCTTGTGCAAATGCAGAAACATAGGCCCCATCCAGATTCGAATGGACATGAATCACTTGGGAAATCTGTTAAAACCGCATGTTTCTAGGTCTCAGATTCCGAGTCTGGGTTTACTTAGCACGAACCTCTCCTGTCACTTTTGCGGGTGGTCCCTGTACCACACTTAGAAACACTGCTCTCGAGCCCATAACAGGACTAGTGCCTTATTTGTCTGGCGAGCTAATCTCCTGCTATTAAATACGCAACCAGTAAAGGTCAACTTAAGTTTTGTAAAAGGGCGCAGAGCACTGTCAAGGGAGCCCAAGGAGAGGATGGGACCAGAACTCACATACAGATGCCTTGACCTCTGATGCAATCAAAAAGGGTTGCAACCGAGCAGACTTCAGACTCGGAGAGAGTGTGGACATCTGAGCAGCGGCTTAGTGGCAAGGGCAAATGAAGAGTCAAGAATCTGCTCTGAATTCCGCTCCCCTAGGCCCGGCCCTTACCATGTAGCAGGTGCCCGGTCTCCTGCAGTTCCTGTTCCTTCTCGTTCAGAAGCTTGGCCACTGCCACCAGCTCAGGCCGCCTGACCTGCAACTGGACTTCAGACCCTACCTGGCGCTCGAGGAAGGTCCGTAGAGGTCCGCCGCGGGCGAATAGCTCTTCCAGTGGAAGGCTACCGCAGCTAACGTGTCGGCGGGCCGGGCCAGCAGCCTGCCGGGCCCACCGAAAAGCACTCCGAAGAAACCTTGACCGCATAGCTACAGCCGGACGTCCGAAGCGGACAAGAGCCGGAAGTTCCGGACGGAGCAAGTCTCGCGACACTGCGCAGCTTGGCAATAGGGGCGAGACCTAGCCAAGCCCCGTCTGGCGCACGCGCAGGTTTAAAAGGGCCTCCCGGAAGCCTGGTTGGGAACTTCCGGCCAATTATTATTAAACGCCGTATTATTTGCGGAGGCCGGAAGTTGAGGGGCAGAGCTGGAAGCGATAGGGGAGGGTCCGAGAGACCTCGGGCACCTCCTCTAAAGGCAAGGTCAGACACGCCTCCTTGAACGAGCTGGGGCGGAGTGTTAGACCGGAAGGAGAAAGCAATAGGTTGTCACTACATTTACTGACGTCGGAGATTTGTCTGCCAGCCTCTCAGTGAGGATTTAAAGTACAGCAACGGGGGGCAGCCTACTGTCCGCTAGAGGGGCTGAGGTTACAGCACGGATGTCCTCTCTCTTGCCAGCCTGGTCTGTCGTCTCCAAGAGCGAATTGTAGGATGGTTATCAGTGTGTACGTGTGTTTACTCTTCCAATTTTCCTGCTCATGTTTCTCTTTTCGACGGTGGTTAAGGTTCGTATTAACAAAGACGTGACAGGTAGACTCGAAGGCAACCACGGAGTGATTTAGCAGTCTGCTTTCCTGCCCTTTATCTACCACTTAATTTACCTGCTTTAAAACGGCTTCCTTCCACACCGAGTCTCATGCCCATTCTCACTTATTCGTTGTTACTCAGCTACTTTTTAAGGTGGTTGAGCCGTTCCGTGTTGCAACTAATCACAGCCCAGCAAAGCCTTCAGAGCCCCGCCTCCGCTAGCCCCGTCCCCACAAAACCACCAACCTCCACCCCCAAACTTGAGAGTGGATTAGTGCCAGGAATACTGAAGTTTACTGGTATAATGCTTTTGCATTTTTCAAAAGACCTTTTCATAGCCCACCAGAGGAATGTATATGAGGGATTAATACAATCTAGACAGGCCTGAGAATGCAAGGGCTGAACGTCCAATCTGGGAACTCCCACTACCTAACTGGTTTGAGCAGGATTTACTAAGTGGTGGTGTAACTGTACAGAGACCTAATATACCCAAAATCTTCTTACTTATTCTTGTAAAAAAATGGTAAAATACGGGAACCCTTGACAAGGTTAAGTCATTCTTAAGTCATCTAATCAGAATTGTTGAGGTTAAGTATAAATTCTTATAAAATGAGCTTGCATCGTTTCTTTGCTCTCTATATACAAATGCAAAGTAGAATGAGCTGACTCTCCAAATAATATAGAACAAAAATAGGTTTTGCTACTTAGAAGCTTCAACTAACTCAAATCTTTTTTCACTTTGAATGTGTATTAAGCCACACTACTTTATAAAATTGTTTTGCTTTAAAAGTGATCCAAACCCAATTTAAAAAATTCTAATCCGAGTATAGAACAGGACTGATTAGGTTGTCTGCATCTCTTTTAGGAATAGTTTTTTTCCAAGTCTAAACTCAACTTTGAATATTAGTTTAAGCATAGAAATTGTGGGAGCTACTTGAACTCAACATAAATCTCTCAGCTGAATTCTCAAAACGAGTTATTTCAAGAGTATACTTTATTATTTATAAAAGGTGCAAAAATGTAACAAGTGATAACCTTATAGAACAATGTAAAGAATCCTGCCAGCAATTATTTTCCCTCAGATGTGTAAGCAATTTAAGCAACATAATTAAGTGCACCTTTACTCCTATAGTGTTACACCAATGAGGAAACAGTAACTTTTCTAAGGATACCTTGGTGAATTCTTTATTCAAAACATTTTTAAAAAGTCAGTGTAACGCATGTGCATTTTACAATAATATCCATAGGTTTCCACAATATAGTCAAATGAAAACAGCTTTAGTTTTACTTTTGTAAACTCAAAGAAATATACACTGTTCGAGATTTCTGCATTTTTTTCCATTATGGTCATGCTTAAATTCTATTACATGTTGAAAATTCTAGCATTTTCAGGAAGTCTGTTATTGTACATAGGTAAAATAATAAAATAGATTCAAGGAAGGGGGCATAAAAACCCAAAACAACTTAAGTTGGTGGAAAAATAATCTGGATTATCTATTCAATTTATAAGTACCTACAGTTATTCTGGCATTGCAAAATAACCAAACATGGCATCTCAAGTTATATTCATGCATTCAAAATTTCTTTATGGTACACTAATAAATATTGGTGAAGTCCAAGATATGGATATAGATTATTAAGTACAATGAACATGGTAGAAAAAATCACACACGTTCAATATAAATTTTACAGAACCAAACACATTGAAATACTTTTTAATATTTAGCAAACACCCTAAAATCATATACAAGATACACTGTATTTATGACAGATAGTTTAAAGCAAGGGGGAAAAAATCAAGCCTTTTACATTATTCCAGTATTCAGTGTTCATTGTTCAGTGGAAGGCAATATAGAAAAGTACTCAGCAAAATCATCATCAATTTAGATTACCTTTTAGGACAGTAAAACTAAAATCTTCACTATCCAAGGGATGCAGAGGATTAAGGTAATCATACAGGTAGTTCAAGGGAAAAAGTTAACTTTCACCTCCTTTAAGTGAATGTTCAAGCTAACACCATTTTGGAGTTTTACTTTCCCATATCAATTTCCAGTTCATTATATTTTCTTCATAGTATTGGTTAGCAGTCATTTAATGGAACCTTCTAGCAATGCTGAGGAATCTGCTCAGAATATTTTTATCTCAGTGTAAATGTCCAGTAAATTTACGTCCAGTATACCCTCTTAAAAAATGTATCACTTTACAGTGGAAAAACCTAACAGACACTACCTCAGCCAGGTGATGAAGTTCAGCATCGACAATAATAAGTCGTAATGATGGTATGTACCTTTGAATGGTGTGATATGAATGGTACTTCTGCCGTCTTTCTTCCAAAAACTGGTAACACCTGTCTAATCGTGGGAAAAAGATCAGACAAATTCCAGTTGAGGGCCATCTTACAAAATACTAGACCTGTACTCCTCAATACTACCAAGGTTACCAAAAACAAGAAGAGTTTGAGAAAATGTCACAGCTAAGAGGATACATGATGACTAAATGTAATGTGGCACCTTGAATCCTGGAACAGAAAAAAGACAGTTAAAAGCTAAGGGAATCTAAATAAAGTGTAGACTTAATAATGCATTGATATTGTTTCATTAATTGTGACAAATGTTTCATGGGTGTGTCATATATATGGGTTCTATCTATACTATCCTTGGAATTTTTCTGTAAATCTAAAACTGTTCTAAAATAAAAGGTTTAATGAAAACTTTTATGAACATACAACTGCCTTTTATTCTTTTATTTTCATATTTTCATGATAAAATTATTTAAAAAATCATACTACCTTAATAGTAAAAAGAATGCTTTCTGTTCCGTGCCAGTCAATATTTTCTACAGGCCAATCTCTTTTAGTTTAGTTTTACGTCTAACCACCACATATTTATTTGGCAAATTAACTGATATTTATATTCTTCCTATCCTTGGGAATGTTTTATTTCCTGTGGAAATAAAATTTTCAAATGATTTCTCTTATTTAAACTTTGATTTAAACCTACAATATTATACACGCACTCACACATATGCATATGCACATCTAAATATATCTGTGTGTGTGTCATTGAAAGAAACATACTTCTTTGTAACTTCAGTGTGATATTGGTGAACTGAGAACAGTGATTTTTGAATCACATTATTGAACAAAGCAATAACATATTCATATATTCCTCTGTCTTAAAATAAGCTTGGTTGTATTTTTTAATGAATAATTAAATCAGATTTTTAAAGTATAGTTTGAAAAAAATTGGGGGAAAGTGCATTAAAATGGCATTTAATACATACATTCTTGAAAATGGGAATTATTATTGAGCTGGAGAACTTTGATAAAATAGTAATATTATATGTAACACTTCACTCTTTCCATGTTTATTTCATTCCCATGGCCATCCTGTAAATTATTATATTCCTCATTTGAAGATAAAGAAACAGGCTCAGAGAGGATAAGTGATTTGCCCAAAGTCACATGAGACAGAAACATAACTTGAAACCAAATTTATAATTAAAGGCTGGTATCTGGAAACAAAACTTATCACTCTTTGCACTGTTGTGTGTTGCAAGGATACTACTAAGAGTGTTGCAGAGAAGATCCGAAGCAAGTTTTTGGTATCAGTTTCATTGGTAAATATTTGAAGTTGCAGCAAGTAAGGAATAACTAAACTTTTTGCAGATTGAGTATTGTTTTCTCAGGAGAACAAACATATTGGTCAGAAATTTTTTAAAAACTGAAAAGGGCATGCAAATATAAGTGTCTGAAAACTATGAAAATTAAGGTCATAAACTGTCAACATAAATACACAGGCAAAAAAAAATTCTGGAAGTATCTTTACCACTTTTCAAAATAATTTGCCAATGTATCTAATGCAAAGTTTTCAAAACTCAAGTTTGACAGGGTTCTATCTATAGACATTTTGGACCTAAGAAATTTTAGGTGGCTTATTTTCCTATTTTCTGATTGTATGTTAAATTTCTTCCTTGTATATTTCTTCCTCAACACATCTGGTATATTACATTTTTTGCAAATGTAGTTTGTTACAATTACAATATGACATTTTTTTCAATGTAAGTTAAAAGTGTATAGAAAAAAATGGATAAATTCAAAAAATAAGAATCAGGTATTATTTTAAATCAGCTTAATGGGGTGAAAGTGTATTTTTTTGCCCCTAATAAATAAATACTATTTACTTATTTCTACAATCTTTTTGCAACACCGAACTATCAGGTAAATATATGATACACATTTCATTCCACAAGTAAGAATCTAGGCAGCATTAAAGGATACGAATAAACACCCCATGCACCATGACCAAATATCAGAACTGGTCATCCTATGTACATATTTTAAAATTGAAAAAAAATTACCACATTATATGGTCTTGATTTTTGCACTTCATAGTGTTGATATCAAAATTGTGTTTTGCTATTGTTCTCTTGCCAGTGCACCTGCTGTGCTTAGAGCTGCCCTATAACACTGTCGGGACATCTGTATTACCTTTAGGTAACATCATAAGAGTTATCCAGAGTAAAGAAGCATCATGCATTCATTATTAGTGTGATCTAGGTTCAAGATCCATCTCTGAAGAAACCTCTCCAATTTATATAAATATATGTATACATATTCATATATAATCTATATCCTCTACTTTTCTTTCCATTATAGACACATCTGAAGTTAGGCATTATTTAAAGAGCATTAACCTCTTTCTGTGTGCATTAGGAGATTCTAACAGTATACAAAGATAACTTGGCAATGTAAAATATAAAGTGTACCTTCTAAAGTGCTAATTTTTCCCCAGGAAGAATTTACTCACTAGGAAAAATCAAACTCTACCAAAACAAATATTGTGCTCTTGGAATGGTAGCATAGACACCAGTTGAGGGCTTTTTTTTGTTTATTATAGCTCTGTAATTAAAACTGAAGGAATTATACCATACTTTAAAAATTGGTAGAGTTGCAAGTACACAGACATACTCTTACATGGAAACTTTAAACATTTTGAAATTAAAAGAGAAACACTCCCCTCCCCTGAAAATAGGAATTTAGCAGGGAAATCTCACGTAACATCTGATGTGTAAATCTACTCTAGAATCATTCTCAACACAACTTCCTAATCAGATTTCAAAAGGATATACTAGCTTCAAAATCTGTATACTACAAATGCCCAGAGTTAGAGATTAGGACTCTTTATAAGGGCCCTTATCTTTTACATTTGGTAAAATATTAAAGGTATTGTCAAACAGACAATTCATCTAATAGTCCAAAGTATCTTATAAAGATAACTTATGACTAGCAAGTCACCATCATATATAGTAACAACAAGAATATAAAGTCTACATTTAAAAAGATTGATGCATGCAGTGTATCATAGCATATTACATATTTTCTAGTCATGTGCCTCAAACACAGCAACAAGTATGATATTACAACATATATGTGTATACAGCATAGTAGCATAACAATTCTAATCAAGAAAAAAATTAGATAATTTAGGAACAATAAACTTCACAATAGAAGTGATGATTATTCTTTTAGCTTTTTCTTCACTCGTTAGGAAAAAAATACGACATTTTGTAAACATCTTCATAGCTATCTTTTTCACCATATTACTGAAAACTATTGTTCAAATAGTAAATATCTAATTGACATGGATAAAGCATGTCTTAACACTAACACTTTCAGACAGAAACACGCATTTGTTAAAAGAAATAATAATTATAAATATTTTCTATCTTGTATTTTAACTACATTTTCATAAATAATGTATTTAAAAGTGCTGAATATAGTAGGATAGTCAGCAACGCCAGTGTAAACAGAACGTTTTGTTTTCTACTCTGCAAACTTTTTTTTTTAAATCCCATTTTGTCAAACACTGCAACAGTTAAAATATTTGCATAGGGAATAGATAATAGCCCTTTTAATCATATCTCCTGAATTCTGTATAAGTTAGAAAATCAAATTCACTTAAAAAAGCAATTCTTGAAATGTTTTAAGTTTATGGCAAAAGAAAATTACGATGTCAACCTTTCAAGTAAAATAAATGTTAAAAAGAAAACCCCAAACTTGGTTTTTTTAAAAAAACTTTAATAAATTAAAAAAATGAGAGGTAGTTAAAAAAATGACAAAGGAAACTTATAATTTTAATATCCTTAATATAAGGCCAGTATTCTTAGTGGATATAAATATGTTTAAAACTTTCATTTTAGGTTACTCAATATTTATTAAGTTTAAGATTAAAAAAATAGCCTCCAGGGGATGTTAATATTCAAATGTAACACCTTGATATAAATATGACACTGACTTTTGTGTGTATGTGCGAGATAGGATACTGTTTTCTTGAATGTCAAAAGTACGTGCCAATGTCAGGCAAGTATTTTTTGTCTTAAAGATTTAGTAGTACATATAAAAAATAATACGGCAGCTAAAAGATTTGAGCACTGTACTGCCTTTCAATTATGGATCAGAATGGTTTGGTTTTAACATTTTTTAAATAAGTCATTTTTAAGATACTATGTGAAAACAGTTAAGGTCTGAAGTAGAGAATTGTCTTCTAGAGAACCCCTATAAAACTTTTCTTGCTTAAAAACTTAGCTTTTCTTGGATTTCACTTTCAAGGAAAATATGCCACAGCACAGATGCTATTCATCAAAAGTTTTATGATGCTACATATAGGCATTCCTTTATTAAATCCTTTCTTTATATTCCAAAACTAAGTTATCAAGCTTATTATTATTATTTTTTTGCTAAAGTACATACTTTACACAACCATTTTAGAACTGGAGAGCCAGTCTTTAATAAATTAATTACAGTATTGGACATCTGATACATAGATTCATTTTCCTCTATTACAGTTAAAAACAATATCACTCTTTGATTTGTCTTTGAGATAGAATATCTTCAAATTGTTTTGTGCTTTTTTTTCTCTTTTCTTCATATATATACATATTTGAAGAAAACTCTTCCGTAATGAAAATGCCACAGTTTTGGCAGTGAACAACCAGAGGAATTCCCCATTAGGATTTTCCAACAAACAGAGATAAATAGCTCTTTTTTCATGTACAGAAATATTGGCTTCAAAATTAGTGTACTGAACACAGTATATAGCATGTTGAATATCATAGTTACAATTTAAAAATTGGCTTTTTCTGTCTTAGATTATATTTAAAAATGCAAACCACAGCCAACTTTTTGGCAATTATTTCTATAAGACCATATTGCACGAAAGTCCTTAAATACAGATATAAGTTATGCCATTGGCTTAAATATTAACAACAACTACATGGCAAATGAAGCAGTTTTACTTTGCACATGCAGTCTCTGGATACACTAGGAGACTGTTCATAGGACTACAAATACAGTTTGCTTGCAAGTAGAATGCGTGTTGAATGAAACAAACTTAATTTGGCAATTCATTGTTTCAGGTGGTATTTTCTCCAAACGTAACCATGGATAACCTTGATACAAAATGGAGACAAAGACCATATGGTTGTATTTTCACAGTAGCCTGAGGAATGCTAAACTGTAGTTCTCCAGGAACTCAGTTTCAGGTGTTATTTAACTACTTTTATTTCTCATCCCAGCCCTCCAAAATGATTTTTTAAAAATAAAAATTAAGATTCAGAAGTAGAGCTGGCAGTACTTTCAACAAATGACTTATAAATCTGAGAGTTCAAAAACCTTGGGAAAGAATCTCTGTGCATTAAGGTATATATCTGAAGTTGGGCATCTTCATACATGTGAGCATTAGGATCCAACAGATTTCTGTTGATCACCTCTCTAACTCGAGAATCGAGGCTGACCTAAAAAGAAATAAGAGCAGATACATTAAATAATATTTTTTCAAAAGATCTCAACTAAGTAAGTATAGATTCATGACATTTCAGAGGAACCTCACAGAATAACTCTAAAATCTTGAGGTTAGGGGCTTCCCTGGTGGCGCAGTGGTTGAGAGTCCACCTGCCGATGCAGGGGACGCGGGTTCGTGCCCGGGTCCGGGAAGATCCCACATGCCGCGGAGCGGCTGGTTCCGTGAGCCATGGCCGCTGGGCCTGCGCTTCCGGAGCCTGTGCTCCGCCATGGGAGAGGCCACAACGGTGAGAGGCCCGCATACCGCAAAAAAAAAACAAAAACAAAAACAAAAAAACAACAAAAAACCAAAATCTTGAGGTTATGTTTTCAAAGGTTACATAATAACCCTACATACTTTTCTCCTTCAAAAGTTGAATTAAACAAACAAAAACCAACTTTTAAACCAGAATTTTAGTTCAGAGATCTTGGCTTACTTGGATGTATCTTTTCTACGCATTCACTCAGGAGTTTTTTTGACAATTTCTGTTCATTGTTGCGGTGCTAGAGAATTCCCTGGCCAGAATACAAATTGACGTCCTCCTATTATGAGACTGCTGGGGTAACTCTTGATGGAACAAGGTAAAAATCTGGCAGAGAGTAGTTCTCTGTCCAAACTTAACACGTATATCAAGTGCTGATTCCCGATAGTTTCAAATCCCAACAAGTCCTCCCGTGTCAGAAGGAGGACACCAGGAATGTGGAAGGGCTGAGTAGAGCAGAACGACAGCACACACTCTTCAGCTCTTCTATCTACCTGGCATGGCATAGGACACTCTGTAGCCCATACCTAGGAATACATCCAAAGGTCTCTGTACTAAAGATTAAGCAGAATATTTACTTGAAATTCAATCTCTGAAAGGAGAAATGTAAGTAGGAATTCAGAGTACCCATTAATCATACAGTGTTATTTGAAAAGTGTAAAGAAAGTAGATTCTGCAAGTGATTCAGTTTTGTTTTTTGTTTTGTTTTGGTTTTTTCCTCCCTAAATGCTAATCTGATTGGAACTGGTAGAGCATGTTGAAATGGGAAGGGGGGGAAATTAAATACCAATAAATGCACACTCTGGGAAAAGAACTAAGGTCTGCTCTGAAATGACATGTTAGCAACACCCTCTAAGAGGCAAACCACCTCAGAGTCTTGATTGGTGTCCATAGTTCTCACTGTTGAACAAAGACTAGGGCATTGTGATCCACAGTTATTTGTCTCATGACGTACTCAAGTCTATACAAACCTTTCCTATTTATAGCTGAACGTTTTGTCACAAGCATTTTGCAAAAGCCTTTTTGGTTTTGGCTTCTTTTCCCACCCACTGTTTGGACTAAGCCTGGGATCTGAAACAGTCCCAATGACGGAAGCCACTCAGATTCCATTTGGTGTCCCCAGATGCCTGAGCTCAACAGCCCATGTGGTGTTGGGTTCCTTGATATACACCAGGGATGGCTGCTAGGGGAGGATGTGTCGGGAAATGGTGATCCAGACTCAATTTCTGTGGTGTAGCTAGACTAACTTATATAGAGAAAAAATTAAACGTTCCTTGGCTGAACTATATATTCTTCTCTCTAAATTCTAAAGAAAAAAGAAAAGATGTTCTGGAAATGGATCGTTTGCATTTTATTCTCTGTGTTGCTGCCATAAGAGGTCATCGTCAAGTACCAAGTAATAAAAAGTACAGAATTTTTATCAAAGCTTTTTCTTTAAAAATATCATTTGTTTTTCTACTCAAAAGGAAAATATTGACATTGGAGTTTAAACTGATAGATCTTATTCTGAAATGTGGTGTTATGGTCAAGTGAATCGTAACAAACATATTCTATTATTTTTGTAAATGGTGCTCTTACTTTCAAACTTGGGAACTTTTTCTTTCATTGGAGAGAGAAACATTAGATTAGTGATAAAGTGGTCATTTATTTCTTAAATAATAGCATAATGAAATATATGCTATTTAACATATATGTTCCCTAACATGTATAATTAACATATTTAACATGTGATAAACTGATAACAGTTTATCAGGAGCTGGAATAATATTAGGTATCTGAAGACAGAGAAATAAAATAATTTGAATTAGTAAATGTGTTGAGTCTTCATTGAATAATTTAAAAATTTTTTTGGCTAATTAAAAACAGTAGTGAAATGCAGTACAGAAAGTAGTACCATTCAACATTTAGTAATCTGTAACAAAAACACATTTGCTATTTCCTTTTGAAAAATAAAATATTTTCCTAAATATCTGGTTGTTTGTTTGAAAAGGTTGTCTGTCAAAAGAAGTACAGAGAGGTCAAACAACAAGGATAAACCCCATGAGCATAACAGTCTATAGTTTCATCTTGTAGCATCTTTGTGCTTCGATTGTGGAACATCTATAATACAAGATAGTGTGGGTGAATCCCAGCATGGGCCTGAGCCATTGTCACCCTAGGATTCACCCATGATTGGATGGCTTGTAAGGCCAATGCGTAGGACTGAGGAGTTTCCTGTAAAGAACTCATGCTAGGGGAAGAGAAAGTTGAGTAGCACAAGACAAGAGCTATCCTTGGGCAATGGAAATTCTTTTCTTAGTCCTCACAGACTCCCATTTAGGTGGGGTGAAGGGAGGGACGCAGTGCAGCAATAACAGTTAAAAAACGATCTACTACTGTGGGACAGGGCACAAGAGGGCACTGAGAGACTTGGCAGCATTTAACTGGCAGTTTTAGCAGTGCTGGAAATGTTGGCAGTGTTGAGAGGTGGTAACTCAAGCTTTAAAAAGGCATAAGTGACTTTGTGACAGGACTCAATGAACTTGGAAGCATCCATTCCCACAGGGAGTAGGAGACAGAGAAGAAGAAAAGCACGTGGCTTGAAACATAAAAATATGCACCAGCAACTCCACAAACTAATTGGGGGGAAAATGAAATGAAAGCTAAAGGTTCAACAACAGTATGGGGGGTAAAGTGGGGAGGATGAAAACAGAAATCTTTCTAGTGTGGTTGGGAAAACCTGGGTCAAATTGAATTAAGTATTATGCTTGATAGATTTCCTAGCAATGGAGCCAATTCATGTAAAATAGGTCAGTATTGGCAAAAGGGAGCACACCAAGTTTTGACCCTGTCTTCCTCTTCTAGTCATCATGGAAATTTTGACTCTTTGGACATTTTTTCGGTGGAATTGTACTGAAGATGATGAATTACCACTAAAAGTCTTTTACTCTCATAAAGACCCTCCTAAGTCAATTAATTCCTTGAACAATTTTTTTACACATAATGATTTAATTTTTCTCCCATTTTTTCCACTTTATTTTTAATTTTACTGAAGCTGCTTTACTTAGGATTATTTTCTAAGTAAAATTCTGATTAATTTTTTTCTTTTTCCTTTATAAGTCCACGTTCAATTTTACCAATTATAGTTTTTGCCATTGGAAATGTTCTTTATAATTTTAACTAAATTCGGTCTTCTCATGTAAAATTTTACAGATCTGAAGGCTATCTGGTTTTCCTATCTGTTTTAATACACTTTTACCACGTGTGTTTTTAGTCATATTATTTTGTGTTGGTTATTTCTACTGAAAATAATTATAAATTACAAATAAGATTGATTATTGGAATGTGTTTCTTGGACCAAACATCACTGGTAGGATAAAGTGGAGTAACCATATTCCTGATGGCGTACAAATGATGGGAAAGTTAATCTTGTTTCTGAAGGAGAGTTCAGACATGTGGTTAAGGTTACTAGTTCTTATCGTGTCTCAAGTTCAAGTTTGGGTTCATAGAAATCCATAGTAGTATCATGAATGGAATACAATGGAATAACTCATCAGCATATTGTAGCTGGAAGAGCATCACACTTGGAATCTGAAGATCTTAGGGTTGTGTTCTCTCTCTACCAGATATAATTCTAATATCCTTGTTTTACTTCTCTGAAAATCAATTTCCTTTCCTATGAAATGGTGCCATGTGTCCTAGAGGCTAAAGGATTCTTGTGAGACTTATACTGTAATAATATACATAAGACCATTTTGTCAACAACAAAGTTTAAGCCCAGTGTAAAGTAATAATAGTAATGATAATAATAATTGAGCATATGTATAATGACACCTCAAACCCAATGTCTTTAGACTTTGTATCAACTTGAATTTTGCCTTCTCAGAGTGACCTTCCCTGACTAACCCTATTCTAACTACATCATTTGACCTCCACCCCCATCATAATGTTTATCACGATTTTTAGTTACTTGTTTTTGACATGATTTGTTTGTCTTCCTAAAATGAAAGCTCCATAAGGTATAGGCCAACGTTCACCATCATATCCCTAACATCTAGCCCAGTACCTGGCTCGTAGGAAGTACTCAAGAAATATTTTTTGAATGATAATATGCATGCACAAAGAAAGGAATCTAGGAAAGTACAATCATAAGTCCTGTTTAGAAAAACTGATTTAAATTATTGGAAGTGCTAAATTCACATGATTTTGCATGAAGAAACATCTATGTGCACACGTAGGACCCACATGTCTTTCACATATGCATTATGTTTAGATAATTCTGGTGTTTAAATAGGCTTTTTGCTTTTTTCTCCCTGATAGCAACTGGAAGTTTAGGGTGAAATCAGAACAAGCAAACAGTTCCTACTACTATAAAAATTGTCATTCAGCAGAGCCTGAAAGTCATAGATTTAGTGTTTTTTTTTAGCTTTTTCCATTCCCACATTCTACAGAACAAGGTATCTAAGGCTGCAGAGCACTGAAGTGAGTTTCTTAGTGTTAAACAGATGGTTAAGTGGTGGGGCTGGATTACAGCCCTGGTTAAGAACAATGGTGTCCCTAGATATCTGAACACACATAGTTTTCTTCAATTCCAATAAGTCTTACAGTTGTTTCAGCATTTATAGATATTTCTTTATTCAACAGCTCAATGCTGTTTAAGTTGGTCATAACTTTTAAGCAGACTTTTTATTAAAGTTCCTTATTTTGCTGGGTTTGTCTTTTCAATACTTAATATAAGTTGCCACTGGCATCTGTGATGTGCAAGCGTACTATTCGTCTTAAATTCCTCTTTATTACGTCCATTTGCTTTCCCTTTGAGGACAAAAAAGAAAATTCACTTTTGAAAGAAATGTTATTTTTGTCTGTTTTTAGATTTTTTTTTTTTAATTTAAATTTGGTCATTTCCCCTCTTGAAATGCATGCTGTGCCGAGAGTGGAAGTTATATTGCCTCCTGGTTGTAAACATCTATTTTATAACATAACATCCAAATTATTAAAAATGCATATAACATGATCTTAAAACAACGAATTGTAACATTCAGCACTCTGGCTTCATGAAGGAAATATGCTATGTATATATAATTTTTTTTTTTTGTGGTACGCGGGCCGCTCACTGTTGTGGCCTCTCCCGTTGCGGAGCAAGGCTCCGGACGCGCAGGCTCAGCGGCCATGGCTCACGGGCCCAGCCGCTCCGCGGCATATGGGATCCTCCCGGACCGGGGCAGGAGCCCGCGTCCCCTGCATCGGCAGGCGGACTCTCAACCACTGCGCCACCAGGGAAGCCCCAATGTATATATAATATTAAGAATGTAGACCTCCTTAACGTTTAACAAAGGGCAACATGATGACCCAATCTAATTAAAGTAAAATGAAAGTCTAGTGAAGAAAACTGAGGTTCTGGTTAAGAATAAAGTCCTGACAAATTTCAGTTATTTAGTTATTACCATTTTACAAATGATTCAAATGTTCATATTCTTTAAAAATATTCTAAGTAGAAACAGATTGTCTGGCTCCAAAGTGGGAAGTAGATTCGCAACTCCGATGGCCTTGCAGTGGTTGCTCTGAGCACCATGTTAAGACAGGCTCTGAGGTTGAATCTGGGTACAGCAGTGAGGAAGACTGTGACTAATTGGCCATGACATTTGGAGGGGAGAATGCAGTAGTACCACAAGGGCCTTACAGCTGCCATTCTGGACTTGGTTTACTATCCTCTGTGCCCCTTTGAATTTTGATTTTTATAAACAAATCAACTGAATACCGAGGCCCAGAAAAAGTGAACTAATTTATCCCAGGCCACACAATTAAGTTGGAGCTGAGCATGGACTAGAATCTGTCCACCCGAGTGTTAGTTCAGTGTTCTTACTTCTATATAGTCAGGGCTCTCTGGATGGGACATGTGTTCTCTCCAGTGGTGGAAAACAGAACTTGAAGGGTGATAACACAGTATCATTAAACGGTTAGCAGTGTATTGTTGATTAGAAATGGACAAGTTTTTGCATAGAAGATCAGTGAGATATAATATTTTGGAAAGGGCCCTGGGATAGCTAGAAAGGGAGTGCCATTTTGGGAGTATATAAGTGAGTCAAGTCATCTGACTGGGTTCAAAAGTAAATATATCTATACATGGGCTTAAAATGTAACTTCTTAACAATTATCTTTTATAATTGCCTACTTTGGGTTTATTCAATTTTGCTGCTAAATAATAAGTGTAATTACTATGTTGACAGGAGAGCCATCAGTTGGCTAAACAGAGGTACTTCATACAGTCCAATCACTTAGATTCTATGTTGAGAATTATTTATATGTCAGCAAACAAGTAGCCAAATGATAAAAATTTGAATTTTACCTCTGCCTCTGGTATTTAGAGAATATTAAAGGAGAGAGGCTATTACACTAAATATTAGTCTATTTAATTTAGGAAAGGTCATGTTCTTATTCAAGAAATAATATTTTAATGACTTTTTGGTGAAACTCATGTTCAAAGTAAAGAAATTAGTTAAAACAAAACTCCATTACTTTTGCAAAATAATGAAAATCCAATAATTTATATTTCAGTAATCAATAACTATATCTCTAAACTGTGGCCCAGAGAAGAAGTAATTTTGTGAAAATTAAGTATTTTACAAAGCTCCATCAATGAGTGACATCTGAAACTCAAGAGCTGTGAGAACAGTGGGGAAGTGTTTCCCACAAAAACTTAAAATTAGAAAATGGAGACTGTAAAATAAAGGAATTGTATGTACTTAATATAGAGAGCACTTTTTCTACTAACATTGTTTTAAAATGGGACAGTCATCATTTTAAGAGGAGACATAGTACAAAGGAATGGACTAGATAATTTAAACAATAATCATTTTCAAATGATACGTGTTACATATTTGGGGGAGAGAGATGGGATAGATAATCTTCCTAAAGACTCTGTAATTATGTGTACTTATGGACAAGAGAAGCACATCTTGGGGCACATTTGGATTATTTGATATATTTGCCATGTATTGCAATATTAAATAAAAATGAAGGTGAACTTAATATACTAATAAAATTCAAGTAGAACTGGTTAGATGCTGAGGTTCTAGAGAGACCAGAAACCTGAAGAATGTATTTTTAGGATGCAGAATTTTAATGGTGTTAGAAATACAAAGTGGCATCAGTAATAAATGTATTGAGGCTATAGAAAAATTTCTCCCCACCTTGTTTCTATGAATACTTTTTCTGTGTTAATGCAGGAAATAAAAATTAAGACAATCTTTTGTGTATCCAATTCAAGGTTTCTCATTTTGCAGAGACAATGCTATTGGAGTACTCTGGAATACCAATGGCACGAACGGATACATCTTTAAAAAATTACTTAGGTATATCTGATTAGAAGTGAAATAGCTTATATAGCATCCCAAGCACAGAGCTGATAGACCAGACGCAAACTCATCTTACAAATTTAAAGGTAAGGGCCGCACCAAACGCTGGAGGAGACAGATACCTGTCTCTAGGGGATGTAATAAACGTCCACGTGCAGGAGAGGGGTGTGGAGGATAAAGTCCGGAGGCAGACAGCACCAGGTCAGAACACTTAAATGCACAGGTAAAGTCACAGTGGATTAAGAGAGACAGAAAAGACAGCAAGAGGGTGGCGTGCAGAAGAGAAGGCATTCTAGGAAATTCTAAGTTCAAATTCTGAAAAGCCCTGCTGGAACTCAGTCCCTCGGCACTTCAGAGGCCAGGCACACTCTCAGCCCCTCCCTCACCAAATGCTTGTTAACTCTGGTAGCGGGACCGTTTCTCAGGAGCAAACTGATTTTTGGAAAGCTAATGGAACGGTGTCAATCCGGTTGCTTGAAACGTTCCTTGTTTATCAGGTACATTCTGGCAATGGGGAAAATAGCTTGCACTTATAAATAACAGGAAAACCAGAACAAGTAAAATGATTGCCATCACACATCTCTCCCCCAAGAATATTAATGGGTCCTAAAGGGCCATACTTCAGTTCTGTAAAAATTCTATCATAAGCATCAACATGGCAGGGTTTCTTTTGTTTTCGTTTTTTTCCCCTATACCAGAAGTTTTCAAACTAGTATGTATGTGGAAAACTTGTTAAAGGTATGGACTCCTGGGCTCTAGTTCCCAAAATTCAGATTCAGAAGTCCTGGGTCAGCCTCGAGAATTTGCTTGTCAAACAAATGCTCCAGGTGATTCCTATACAGGTGATCTGGGGATCACACTTTGAGAAACACTGCCCCAAAGTAAGTTCTTCTTTTCCATTTTAAGTCATGGCAAATTGTATTACCAGGCTTCCTAATGGTAGTTCTGAAAAGCAAGTAGACTATCACATGATTCAGCTAGAGATAAATGATCAAAGCATACTGGGGAGACCTAACCTTGAAACACGTGTTCAGGTAGATTCAGGTAGAATGGAATATAGATTATCTACCCAGACAAGCCTTCTAGCTTGTCCACACCCCATGCATTCATTACTCAATTTGGACAGAAGTCCTTTTAGGTTCATCCTTGGTCTAAGAAGCTCACATCAATATTTTCCAGATTTTTACCTCTTTTGGTGAGAGTATAGAAATGTAATCTTCATATATCATTCTGGCCTTTTCTTCAATTACTTTTTTATTCTGCTCTTTCTTTAAGTCTTCACAGGCAAGCCAGAAGAGTAGGTTCTCTTCACTGTATTCTGTTCGGAGGAACTCTCTGAAGAGGTTTCTTCCTGCCGGGGCCTTCATCATCTTGTCAAAATTTTGAGACCAGGACAAGACTTCATCTGAAGTGGGGTTTTGGCTGCAGAGACAGAATGGGGCCGTTATCAAAAGCAACTTTGGTGCGGGGATGGTGAACTGCAGATAGAAATGCCATTCAATTGCTGCCATCTAGTGGTCATTGAGACTCAGTCCAGCCTGACCTGGCAAACATCTGCCAGGACTGGGCTAGAGATTTCTGGGTCTTGACAAAAATTCGTGTAGGTACAAGCTATGTGTTAGGGAGTCAAGCATTCAAGTAGCAAGGGGCTACACACACTCTGCACGTGGTCATCATAGATCCCTAATGAAGCCTGGGCATTTTTGAACCCAAACAATCGACTGCAAGCCTATGCATTACTTTGAAAGGCAAACTGAACTTTTTTGTTTGCATCTGATGTAGATTTTCATTTCCAAGCCATAAGATACAGTTTCTCTTTTCACCTCTGGTCGATGTCTTTTCATTTTTCACTGAATCAAAATAAGAATACATTGTGTGCACTTGTCACATATTTTCCTAAACTTTAATAATTATTCTGGTAACTATTATGAGCGAATTGTTACCTATGAATGGAGTTATCACAATTAAAAAGCACAGGACAATGATAATGACATCAGGGACTTTTTAGATACCTATATTCAGGTTTTCAGCGACTACTTTCCTGCAGAAACCACCAGTTATTACTTCCTTTGCTTATACATCAAAGAAGTAAAGGATAGAAGCTTGGAGATTCTTATAGTTAAATTGGTCCTGATTTTGCTTTGCCATTCATTCGTCTGTTTAATAATTTTCCAACCTAAAATACGCTTGGTCAAAAAATTCTTATATTTATCATACCTTTTTGACCAAATATTTTATACAGATTTGCTATTATTCCAAAATGTCTGAACTTCCTCGTTTGTTTTAAAAAAAGTGTAAAAGACAGAAAAATTACTATGAAGCATCAAAATTAAAACCTTCTCATAAGAAGTAGAAAAAGAAAGCGCATATCATTATACAAATAATCTGCTTGTATTTTAATTCTATTCTGTGGATACTGCATTTCAACTTCTCAGTTTGGCGAAAATACTTAGAGTCCCTTCCAATGGAAATGGGACTGAGGAACAGCTGGGTGCCCTTTCTCACTGACTTAGGTAGTTCCATATCTTTTCTGTGTGTGTTTTAGACTCTTCTATAAAGATAACAACTTAAAAATATTCTCAGAAAAGGGAAGTAGAGAACTAGGGCAGTTTAGGGGGGGAGGTTAATTCATGTATCAATCATTGTTTTTTGAAAGGGAAGGATAAACTCAAGCAATGTTTTAGCTGATAGTTTAACAGAGCTAATAAAAAAAAAAGGGATAAAAAGCAGTTGCAATCACAAAATAAGATCTCCCAGACTAAGTATGCATTCATTTCACAAAACCATTTTGAGGAGTTACTGGGAAGCAAGAGATTATGTTTAAGCATTGGGTAGATGTACACAGCACGTACATGCAAGACACAATTACAACGTGAATCACACTCACCATTCCTCTAGGACCTGGATACTCTCCATTTTTGTGGTATGTGTGGGTCTTCCTGCGTTTTCCCCTCTTTCTTCATTCCTAACAGTGAGGCTGTAATGTAGTATAACACTTTATTTTGTCGAGGGAAAACCAATTATTTAAAGAAAAGAAAAAAATTCCAGGAAAATATTTCATGGAAGAATTTTATTTTCAACTATGTGAGAGTATTTAGAGTACAAAAAGAGCAATACCATTTTTAAATGTTGGGTAAGCCCATGTCAACTAAAGGAAAGAGAATCATTATTTAATAAAATAAAGTAAATCATAACCTCAGAAAATGGATACTGTTATACATTCGGACTTCATCCATGCATAGTTCAAATTACTTAAAATCTCCGAGATAACTTACATGATTATATGCTTTAATATTTGATATATATCATTACATTACTCCTTAGTGTAATACCATTTTGATTTTTGGTTAGTTCTATTCATAGTTTGTTTTCCATTGATTTTTCCCCCATTGATTGCTAAAAAGATAAAGTGTATCAGAGTCTACAACAGAATTTGCTAAGTTCACATCACCCTTTTCTGCAGACCAGGTTTTCTGTCATCATTCCTCCATCCACTCAAGTTCGAGCAACAGGATTTATATTTGATTTTTTCTTTGCCCTTTCATCCCTTTAAGTAAACCTCCAACATCTCAAGAGGGAAAAGCCAGTCACTCTGAGGCTTTGGGGTTTGGATATTAGAGCATTGAGTGGGAGGCGTCTCTGTGTCTCTGGGACATAAATTTGGGAATTCTACAGGATGACAGGAGCTAGGATAATTCTATGGGCTTTAGTAACCCAGAACAAGAATAAGAATTGTCTGATTCAGGTAAACGGTAGCTGAGCAGGGTTGTGGGGTTCTAGGTGCAGACGTGATGAGGGGGTTGAGGGCAGATATTAAGAAGCAGGGCGGGGAGGATAACTCAGTGGCCTTGGAAGAGCTAAGCTACTGAATTAGCAAATTGATCCCTCTGTCTAGAAGCCGAGAAGCTTCGTGAGAGCCTGTCAGAGAGCAAAAGAAGTTAGATGATGTCTCTTTCAGTTGTTCATTCATTATCTGTTCAACAAAGGGAAATGGAAACTATTATTTCCTAGTACCTATTATGTACCAGGTGCTGTTCTTTTACTTTAATTTACTTTAATTTTACTATCCCCATTTTACAGATGAGCAAAGTGAGGCACAGAGCTGTCTGGTAGGTTGGCCCAAAGGCAGGCACTAAATATGCGGTATGATTGGAATTTGAACCCAATTCTCTTGAGCCACCCTGTAATTGTTATTATGAACCATGCTGTCTGATAAGCACTGAGGCAATAGAGTACTTATGTGAATGCAGAAAAGCGGCACCAAACATGGCTGTGGCTTAGTGCGCGAAAGCTTCCAACAATTAGCTATTATTGATCTGGAACATCCGGTAAGGGAAGAGGAGAGATGTCTCATTCATTCATTCATTCTCAGGTGCAAGGGTGAGGATGGAGAGAATGTAGCAAAGACGGGAAGGCAAAGGGGTCAATCTACAACTGAAAGTAGGACTAGATGGAAAACTTAGTTGCGAAATTGGACCACCTGGAGAAAAGAGAACTCAGTAGGAAGTGGAAAGGATTCTTCAGTCAGAAACAGGACACGTCAATGAAAAAAAAAAAAAATGTCAGAGGGAAGTAAATTAAGTCCTCCTCTACCAGTTTATAGGGAACGTGGCAGATTTACTGGTGTAGAAAAGGAGAAACCTCTCACAAAGGTGGTATGGCCCAAGGAATTCTGGGAAGCAGAAACTATAGTTTGATTGTTACTCAAATGTCCAGAAGACTGAGGATTGCTCTGCATGGTAGTCAGCAATTCCAGACCCCTCTCAGCCTTCAGCGTGGGGAGCCGCGAGGAAGCAGCGAGGGGGGATTCAGAGAGCGGCTGGTTGAGTCTCTGCCTGCCGAGCTGTGACTGTGTCTGCAGGTTAGGAATGTGTTGGAGGGCAGCATCATTAACTTCTCAAAGTGTCTTTGAGTAAGAGTGCCTCTCTGGAATTTGATGTATTTCCGGTAATTATGGGAAAGTGGGTGGGAGGAGATAGGAAGACACCGTTGACAATATTCTGTGAAATTTCCTGGGAGAAACTAATGATGCCAAATGTATAAAATATGCAACTTGGGGGGTAAATCCTAGAAAGATCACATTTAAATAGGAAATTAGTACTCATTCTGCCAAGCTACACCGAGCTCATATGTGTGTGTGCACATACTGAGGGACTATATAAAGACTGGAAAATGAGCTTGCTTTGCTGATTAAATAATAAACTCCTTGAGAATTTGTTTCAGTTACATTTCCACACAGTATCCTATGGAGCATGCCACACCAATGCAGGTATCCTTATCTGAAAAACTTTAAAACACAACATCGTTGAAAAAATGTGTTCTCCATTGTGTCTTTGCTGTGGAGCAACAAATCTGGAATCTACATACATGATTCACAAGTTTCTGAAGATGAATTCTGGCTCTTGTATCTGTTTCTGTGATATTTACAAACATCCCAAATGCCACCATATTAGAGTGATCATTATGAAATATTGGGTTGTGTTTATATCTTTGATTTCTACAGATGGTAAAATATGGACACACATTTGTACTAAAACTACTTATAACAGACATTCAGTAAGTGCCTAACTGTTCACCGTTTCCTCCATTTCTTGATCTAATATTGGACACAACATTGCCCTGTAGAAGGAAACTGACCTTTAGCAATCGATGTGTCCTTTCTAATCAACTGTCCTTTAGGACTGTTCTTTAAAAATTGGTTTCAAAGTTTCCATTATCAAGAACCATTAAAATAATGCCATTTTAAGATGAAGAGAAATGGAGAAAATGATAGGAGACTTGGTGCTAGACTGTTTGCCATCTGTCTTAGGCATGACTAATGTCTGTCCCCAATTTTACTTGGTCCTGCTCTAAGTAATACAGTGGGTTCATTTAAGGTAATAAAATACAGGACATATTTGCTCTGGATCAACGTATATATATACATATGTGCTGGAGAAAAGCTCTAAAAGGAAAACATCAAGCTTAACGTGAGGGGTCATGTAGAGACGTGTTCTTTTTCACTTTTACAATGCTTGTAATATTTTGAACTAACAATTCCACTTTTTAAACAACTAAAGCCATGAAGAGAACAGAATGCATATACAATGCTCACTGTGGGAGTCTTGATGAAAGCTGAAATATTTTATGGGAGAAAATTCCAATAGCCTATGCTAAGAATACTAAAATAAGCATATAAAATCTTATTAGAGATTGTCTCGAATAGTGACGTTGAGAAGAGAGAAATACATTTGGTATACTTCAGAAAATAAGGAAATATGCCCTCTTTGTGTGTGGGTGGATTTTTTTGTTTGTTTACAGGGGAGTCTGGGCAGTGGGGTATGGAAAACATTACCTACTGCCCTTTAACGAGCTTACCTACTGGTTCGTCATCATGGCTATGTGTGGGGACTCTTTTGGAAGACAGTCTACTTTCAGTAAACAATTGGTTCTTAGGGAGAATCCTTGAAATGGTTGCAAATAAGATGAAAACTTTGCAGTAGCTATGGTAACTCTGGGGTAGAGGCTGATCACAAAACCACATATCTTTACACAAACACTCAGCTGAGGAATTAATAAATTAATACATTTAATAAATTTATGTTAAATTTATGCTTAAATTTAATACAGTATAACTGTATTATACTGTATTAAAATATAGGCTCAAGAAAGAACCACTGTCATTGGTAAAGACAATTCATTATTCTAATATTCTCACATTGTACTATCAGCTTTTCCTTTATATTTAACAATTCTACCTCAAATTTCCCAGTGCAAAAATGGAATCAACTTCCTTCAGGTTCTGAAAAAAATTGGTAAGTTATTCTTTAAATGTGTCATTTTTCTCAGTCAAAATACCATGGTAAAATAATACTACAGCCTTACTTAGGCGTCAACAACAATTTACAAATATGTATGAGACACCTGATTTATGCAACGGTGTCTGGGTTGGAAAGTCAAGATGAACAAGACAGAGGCTCTGAAACTGAGGAGCTCTGACAGTTAAATAGGCCTCACAGAGCATTGCAATGAGAGTTGAAATAAATGTGTTTGCCAGATGGAGACCTAGACAAGGAGGATTCCAAGCAGAGGGGGTAAAATCGTGTAGAGTTGTGAAAATGCATGATATCAACGCAGAGCAAAATGGACGAATCAGACGTTTCAGGATGGAAGCAATAAATTAGAATAGTCAGTGAGGTGTGGTTATGTAATGGGCCAATAAAACAATGAAGTGGACTCCAAATCTCAAAGATATCTCCTTGATGACGATTTTGGTTTTCCAAGCTTTATTTTCCCCATTCATAATGGGGACAAAGGTAGTGACCTACTACACAAGGTTGAAAGCAAAGACTAAACACTTGTGACAAAAAGGAAAATCATTACACATGCTTAATTCAGTGGAAGGGCAAATTGGTGGCATATTAAAATGACAATTCCAAGTTTACCGAAGAGTTTTTTATTTCAACTAGAGGGAATAAAAACTTACACCGTGCTGTTATTATAAAACACTTCCGCATACAACACCTTACCATTTCTTCCTCACAACAGTCCTGTAACGTAAGCAGGGGCTTTGTTATTAATCATTCCCATCTGATTTAAGAAAAAGCAGTCACCGAGGTTGACTTACTCAATACCCACAGCTAAAACATATCAGGCCTAGCAATGGAACTCACACCTTCCGACGTCTTATTTCATGCTCATTTTCGCTGTGCAATGCTTCTTCTCTTGATATAGAAGAATTAATTGTGGTATTTTACCTTTTCACGTATTTAGAGAAATGGATTGCTCTTAAATGTCTGGAAAGGGTAAACCTCTTATCACAAACCCATGTCTGGAGGGCACAGCCCCTTCTAACAACATTACCCCACAGCTGCCAGTCTGCAGGAGGTATTGCCCAGAGGACTGAATATACAGCAGATATTGGCAAGGAGCAACTTCTTGATTGCCAGGAACTTGAGATTGCCAGGGAAAAAGGAGCTGTTACAGAAGGTTGACAAC